GTGTAATCTGGGTGATTTGTATTTAGGAGTCGCAACCACTTATCAGCAGCTTGGAGTAAGCCCTGGGCGAGGTTACCCTCGCCATCGCCTTTAGAAGTCCACATGGAACCCTTGCACTTGAGGGATGCAAGACCAAAGACGGGAAGAGAGACATTCTGTTCGGTTAGGATAGGTCTACGAGCAATGCCTGCATTTGGATGATAGGAGAAAACAAATCAGATAATCACAGTTTGGAATAATCAATAGCATTAAGCAATTGGAAGTTAAGAAAGCTTTAGGCAACAAAATTTTCCTATATTTTAATAATTTACGTCCCGTAATCATATTTTAATTAAATGCTCAAAAGACCAAACTATCATCAAATTGCAATTAGCAAGGTAATTATTTAAATCATTTATTTTAATAAATTGCTAATATTTTAAGAGTAAACTGTCATACTCTATCCAAAGAGCGATTTCTTCATGTATTAGCTAGGGCAAATTAGTCTTTTATTCTAAATAGCTTAGAGGTTAGAATTATGCATAAGATTATTGTCTGTGAATCTTGGGTTTAGGGTTAGGATGAGATTTTTAACCTCTCAAATTGTAGGAATTGAGAAAGATCGTCAACCTCTCGAATTATATGTATATTTATCTTTGTATTTGTGTTGAGTTCTTTAGATTTTTAAATAAAAATATTTATTTAGCCATAATTTATGTGGAAATTCATGACAATTTCTAAGTCCGATAGTATAAAATTTGTATCAGAACGTTACCAGAAGAAGAAAGAATCAAGGCCTAAAAAATAATTTCTTGTCCAACCTAGTGATCGGGCTCGAGGCAAAGACGCGAATCGCTAATATTTCTCCTCCTCTCGTGTTCGTCTGCCCAATAGAGTCGAAATCGATCCTGGGAAGCGACAAATAGCTCACGGCAGAGACCCGAATCTCTTATCTATCACCTCCATCACGACTGAGAGAGTCGACAAAGAAGGCAACAACAGGATCACGACTTACATAGACCCAAAACAATGATTTTTTCTCTCGCTCCGTGGACATGACACAATCGTGATTAGAGATTGTTGAGAAGGCAACGACGCAACGTACAGAGACTCGAGATTCCATCTTACGCAGTGTACAAAGGTTCGAAACTCTCATATTTCTCTTGTTCTAATTTCGACGTGCAGTCAAATCAAAACCATCAAGGACATTTCAGCTTACAGGCGTTTCAGTGTTTTGTGATTGAAAAATTGTCGAGTAATAATGACAGCAAAAGAAGTAGATGATTTGAGATAGAAATTAAGGGATGATGTGAGCAAACTTAAATTAGAGATAGAGAAACGGTTCTCCATCATGGAAGAAAAGTTTTCCTCCATAGAAGATAACTCTTCAATAGAAAATCCATTCAAGAGCTTGGAGGAAATTATAAAGATGCTTATTGAGATGCAATCCATGACCCCGCCGGCAACTCCATTTGCAAACCCTAATTGGGGTTGACAGGAGATTTATTGCCAATTGAAAGGGAGAGAGATTGAACGTGAGGAACAAAAGAAGAAAAGCATCCACCATTAAGAACTCACCCTTATAACTCTAAAGGGGGTTGGATTAGAGATTTCCAATGGAGGTTGTTGGGTCGAAACATGGAGAAGGGGTCATGCAAAAAGTATGAAGGAGTATGAAGAAGGAAGGAGAGAAGCCGGTACGAGGTATAGTTATGATCAAATGAGAGAGTTTTACTGTCTATACAAGGGGGAAACACATGATGGACATGAAGTTAGGGTGGAGATGCTAGGGTTAGAAAGTTGAAGATGTCGATTTTCAAGGAGAAATATGCAAATTCATGGGTGTACCGGGTGGAGCGATATTTAGCGATGATTGGGCTAAATTAGGGTTATGGTTAGAGGGGAAGCTTGTGGCGGAAAGTTTATGGTTAGAGGGGAAGACCCTTAACATATTTTTAGAGGAGGGAGGTAGGATATTCGATCCGATCATGAGAGAAATTTAAGGATTGCTTGTTCGAACATTTCTGAGCCATTTTGGAAAATGACTTACACGAGAAATTCAATGCTTTGACTCAAGAGGGGACTGCAATGAAAAATAGGGAGAGATTCGAACTATTGTCATGACAGCTGATGCAAATTTCTGAAACAAGATTAGAATGGATATTAATGAAGATCCTAAAGCTTAATATATTGGCAGCACTCTGATTATTGAAACCACATGGATTGAGGGAGAAGATGGAGGTAGTGCAGATGGTAGAGGACAAATGTAGGGAACGAAGAAACAAAAACGGCTGTGGTGGAGGAGAAATACCCTCACTTTTTTTCACCTCAGGACAAGATGTCTTGTTGAGAGAGGAGCATTGTTGCACACTGATCTAAGGGCAATTTTATCTTTTATTAACCTAAGAGAAAATAAGTCTTTTATTATTACGATTGCTAAGTATAAATAGGTCTTAATAGCTTAAGGTTAGGGTTATGCATGAAACTATTGTATGTGAGTCTTAGGCTTAGGGTTTGGGAGTGATTTCCTACCTCTCGAATCGTGGGAATTGAGAGAGATTTCCTACCTCTCAAATTGTAGGTGTTTATCTTTGTATTTGTGTTGAGTTATTTGAATTAAAAACATTTGCTTGACCCTAATTTTTGTGGAAGTTTGTGCTGATTTCTTTGTCGAATCGCATCTTAGAGTTTATATTGCTAACTTGAAAAGAGAGAAGAATGGTGTGGAATAAATAAGGACCCATATTACATCATAAAAAACATGTGATCATGTACCCTTCCCCGCATCCATAATCACATATCCTTTTTTTCTACGAGCCTAGAAGAATTGCTTAGGCACAATTCACATATCCTTTTTTTCTATATTTCTAGTATCTGATATGATCCAACACATTGATGAGCTTTCATCGAAATTACAGCCTTCACAGTTTTATAACAATCCACATGGTTATGTGCACTAATCAATTATAAGATCAGCATATCGTAGTCCACCGCATTAACAAAAAAAATAGAAAAACGCGTGCTTGCATTCACTGCGTTAAATGTGTATTTCAGTGAATATATGGAAATATAACATTATGAAAAATTCTGTAGCCCACTCAGTATTTGAAATTACAGAAAAGTTTGATGACTTATTCTAATTTCTAAATTCAGTTCTCAAAGACTAACATGAATTTACAATGAATGAAGGAAAAAAAGAGCAAAATACCTTTCATAGGAGTAGAAAGAAAATGAAACGTGAGAAAACAAGTTCCAACATCCGCCAGCGTTGATCCAGGTGGTATTCTATAAATGGGATACCTGCATAATGTTTAAAAGACATCTCTTTATTCCAAGTATCAGAAAGATAAAATATGTATTCATACCGTGTGAAACCTCACCATGCAACAGAAAACCAACTGGATGGGAGAAGATCACAGCTTTTAAATGTCCTCAAAACTGGAAAATTTTTGGCAAGATTAACAATCTGAACCAAACAAAACTATGTTAAAGCAAGAATAATATTAATTTGTGATAAAAAATGATATGCAATGACAAAGATTTTACCTTGTTAGCCAAAGGTTCACGATAAAATGGAAGGTCATTCTCAAAGTATTCGACGATGAGTGAAGCTCGAGAATCCCCAAAATCACTATCATCACCACAAAACTCAGATCTCAAAGACAGTTTATCCAACCCAATCTTATCACATCTTGAAATACAACTTTTGCACCAGTTCCCTAAATATTTAGATCCACTATCCATACTGCTTCCATAGCTACTAGTGCCTCTAAAAGAGTTAAGGTAACTTTCTTCAACTGGGACACTGTTAGAAAAGACTGATTAGTGAAAGAGAATACTGTTATTACAGCTTTGAAAGAATGCCTAGCCTTGACATATAGTCATATAAAAAAGGACTCCGCAATTCTGAATGATTAATGCATAAAGCGAACCCAACTATGATCAGACATGAGTCCTTCATGTTGGTTTAGAACCCTAAAGAAGAAGTAAAATAGATCTCCAACTTCTTCACAAGTACCATATGCTTGACTTTTGCTTGAGCTAGACTAATCCCAAATAAATGCAAAGTAGAAGCTGCCTATAATGGTAGCACAGGGAGCCCTTTTCAAAGAAGTAAACGAAAAAACTATTGCTGAAAATAGCTTTCATGCACTGATGTCAAGCTTCTTTCAATGTTCTTTACAATGGCACAACATAAGCACCAAGTACATCTTATAATTACAATGTACTCACAATGACAGAAATAACTCATAAAAATCTTATGTTTCATAGTAGAATGAAAAATCAAGTGCAGGGTTACCGCTGAAGAAATAAAAAGTACAAAACCCTGAACACAAGAAACAAAAACAGACAAGACAGTTTTATTTTTATTTTTATTTTTTTGCTCAAATCAAAATAAATTGATCCCAAATTTGTACGATTGGTTATGTAACAAATTATTAGCATTTGATGCAATTGAAATATCCAAGAAAAAAGAATAGAAAACAAAATGGTTGAGACAAAAAAATGATTACAACATTGCCGGGTAAACAAAATAGAATAGCACAACTCTTCAAGTGCTGCATTCAATCTGAGGCAAAGACAATAATGAACTTATTTCAATTTACAATTGGACATTTCTAGCAGCAAACAGTTACAGTGAACAAGCAAAAGAGTAGGCTTCCTAGAAACAGGTTGCAAACATTGGGAGAACTAGGTGTTGGTTGATATAGGCACTCGCCACCCTAAAGTTTTATTAAATTCTTTAATATTAACTAATATACTAAAAAATTTGTCTCTTCTAAAAGCTTAAATATTTAGTAATAATTTAACATTAATTATATTTTTTATTTAAGAATCAGGTATATAATAGTTTTACAAAATATAAGCAGTGAAAAGTATTAAATTTAATGTTTTAAATTTAAATAGAGAAATTTACATACATACCACGCAATTCTATGTATTTGCATACCTAACACCTAAGCATTTATAATTACATTTATAATACTTTGGTATCATAATTAATACATGAAAATGTAATTTTACCCATAAAATTTTAATATTTGTGTTGTTTTTTTAGTGATATTAAAGATTTGAGTGCTATGTATGGAAATGTGAATCTTTGGGTATTAGATAGGTAACTAGATAAGAATTGTGAGGTATGTATGTAATTCCCCATTTCAATATTAGCGACCCTTTAATTTTTATTTTGCCTCCCCTCTCCTCAACTTTTGGTTCCCCTGTTGCTTTCAACCCATAAAAGCATACAGCTGCCAATCATGCCTTGAGCTGAAACTCACTACAAATTCTATAAGCATGTGATCAACAACAATGTATTGAATTGAATCTTATCAGCCAATTCAACCCTATGAGCTATTCAACATCATGCTATACGCTTTGTACAATCAGGTTCAGCACCGACATTAGTTATCCTCTTCTAAACAAAGAAGAACTAACAGACAAAAATCCCATCGAAATGGATAGAACGGGAAAATAAAACAATCACAGTATCAAAATACGCATTAAAAAAAGTATAAAGAGCTTAAAGCAGCGAAAAATCAACACGGTATAAAAGCATAAATACATAAATTTAACATGAATACCCAAACAATAAGCGGTAAAACAAAATTACCTGGGATCCAAAGAATGAGTACTAGAATCCGCATACAACTGAATGCCAGAAAGGTAGGGCACGTAATACTGAATAACAGAATTCTTTCCATTGAGAACAAGAGGGACCCCCGCACCGTAGGCACTCCACTCATTGAAAGAATCCCACAAATCCTCCAGATTAAAGTATGTCATACACTCCTTATCGCACGTTCTCCTATATCTCATTGTCTATAAAACAAATCTGCTGTGTCAATGACCTGAATCCAAAAGCAAGTACCGAGGGGGAAACGAAACGGACAAGAAAAGAAAAGAAAAGAGACATTTTACATGCCTGTACATCAGAGGTTATTTAAGGGGTACAATGGGGTTATATCTGGGTTATACCCCCTTGTAACCTCCGGTATAACCCGGATATAACTCCTCTGTACCCCCAGAATAACCTCTGATGTACGCAGCGCTGCGTACATCTTATGTACGCAAATATTTCACCTTTGAGAGATATTGAGCAGGTACACTCGGCGTCGTCGCTTGCAAGAACCTGTCCAAGTTACCGGGAAGAGCCGCAATACTTCCAAGGGCCGCAGGAACGGATTTACTAGCAGTTGTCTGGGCCTCGCTAAATGAAGAAGGCGAAGGTACCGCTGTCGCGCGAGGAACGTAGCGCTGGGTCCGCCGCGCCTTCATTGCTCCGTGAAACCGATCTACCCCATCCACACGCTTATGCTGCGAGACTAACCCGGACATTTCCTGGATTTCTAACTACAAATTAACAGAGAAGGAATATCCTTGTTCCGATTGAACTCAATTCCTATCGCAGAATCCAATGCAATC